ACTCTCATATTATTTTCATTTGAATTCAAAAGTAACTAATGAAAAACATACAATATATATTCATATTTGATAATTAGTTGTTGGGAATTTTTAGTAGGCTAGTAATCATTTGCTTGATTAAGTTTGTGTGTTTGTTTTTTAATTCTAGAATTTTCTTGAGTTTATTACTATTTTAATATAACATTTTTGGTTATTTGGCTCCCTAACTTGACTTTGATTCTTGGTTATTGCTTTATGAAGGGCTTCTTCAATCAAAGAACCCCTCGACCGTTGAGTCCTCTCATTCCCAGGCATCGTTTTCATCGGTTTTCTCAGTTAATATCCGGTTATGGAAACCGAAGAAATCGGAAACCGAACCAATGGTTCAATTCATAAAAGAGATTCATGGAGAATTGGAGAACGTATACGTTGGTCACATGTGTTTGTCGTGGGAAATTCTTCACTGGCAATACGAAAAGGCCATTGAATTACTGGAATCTGATGTGTATGGTTCTCGTCGGTACAACGAAGTTGCTGGAGAATTTCAACAATTTCAGGTTTTACTTCAGAGATTTCTTGAAAATGAACCGTTTGAAGAGCCTAGAGTACAACATTACATCAAGAAACGTTGTCTTCTTCGGAATCTCCTTCAAGTCCCGGTTATTCGAGGTACGAACACTTAAACCGAAACTTATGAAATTCTTAATCCGGTTCAGGAGTTGCGCACCGGTTCTTGGAATGTTGGTTGTTTACCTGATGAGGTCTCTTACCCATTATATATATATATGCTTGTTTGGTTTAACTCGGTTAAATTGGAGAAAACCGTCTTTGAACCGGTTCATAGATGTTTGTTACTGATGAGAAGAATATTTTGATGATGTTAACAGAAGATGGAAACAAGGACAAAAGGAAAGGAAGAAGAGATTACGGGGAAAATGATGAAGGTGCGATTAAAAGCGATCAACTTGTGGAAATTATGGAGGAAACAATTCGATTATTCTGGCGATTTGTACGGTGTGATAAGTTTACTAGCTCGATTCTTGATCAGAAATCGCGAACCAAATCACAGATAGAACCGGATCATGAAGAAGACTCAGAAGATCTAGTAATGTTCGCCGAGGTTAAATCAGAACTCCAAAATGTAAGTTTTCTTTCTCAAAACACAAATCTTTTTACCTTTCTTTTAAACAGTATTATCGGTTTTAATCGTCATTTATTCCATGTGGTTACAGAAGGAGAAGAGGTTGAAAGATGTGTTGAAGAGTGAAAGATGTATTATAAGAAGATTCCAAAAGCACAAGGAAGAAGATTCACCAGACGATCAAGTGCTTCACTTCTTCTCCCAAGTGGACATGAAACTTGTGACAAGGGTTATGAACATGTCCAAATTGACTAAGGATCATTTGGTTTGGTGCCATAATAAATTGACTAAGATTAGCTTTGTGAATAGAAGGTTACATTTAGATCCTTCATTTTGTCTATTCCCTTGTTGAGATTTTGTATTGACTTGTAGATCTTATACTACTATGCCTAACTAAATTACATTGGGGAGTAATAAAAAAGTACAAATATATTGTCCTCACGTTGTTGCAAGTAAAAAACTCACAAATTCCATCAATTTTGGGCTTATTACATTTACAAGCAAAAGGAATCTTCTTCCTCAATCCTCTTCTCTCTGTTGATTCAAATCTAACTCCAAAACAACGATGAAACAAAATCAAACTAAGAGAACTTTTGAAAAGATGCAACGAATCGATGAGACACTATTGAGGGAACATAAAAGGAAGAACAAAAGGTAAGAAAGACAACTGATTCTTTTATAGAGCTGATAGTTCAGGAAAACAGAACACTTTTTATTACTCGAAAGAGATGAAAAAAATATTTATACTATTCCTTGTATCAAACATCTGCAGATTCTATCGGAGCATAACAAATTAGTAAGTTAAAACCCTCCAAGGAACTTCATCCCACACCGGTCTGATGTGCGTTACCTAAATGTGTGATGCAGAAAGATGAGTGGCTATTCCACCACTAAAACATTGTTCTGTGTCATTCCTTCTCCGGAAGTAGGAAACTCGGGTGAGATCTGCCATTCTCCATCCACTAAGAACTTCATCTCATACCTTAAATTCCAAGAATTCAAAAAACTAATTTAAAACATGAAAATACAATCTTGAATGCGAAAAGAAGAAGAGGAGAAGAAATTGTACCGCCCGGGACGAAGGATTAACGTGGTGGAGAATTTAGTGAATGAAGCTGTGTACTCAGGCGATAGATCCTCATGTTGACTCCATCCATCGAACGATCCCATTACTTGTACACTCTTGTGTGAAGATTATCAATAAGTGAGGTAATTTGAGGATAATATTTAACTTCATCATTCAATTTATTGTAAAGACATCTCAGAATGTGAAAATTATTAAGCTACCTCTGCCATGCCAATCCAGAACACATGAACCTCTTTTGACTGTGCAGCCTCGACGTCCTTTATTTGTTCCTTCAACTTCTTTTGAACAGCTTTAACAAAAGCAGAGAAATCAATTTAGTATATGTTTAAAGGGAATGGAGAGAATCAAAATCACGAAGAAACCAAATGGAAAACTGAAGAACCTTCTAAACGAGAGAGGAGGTGTGATTGAATGTACTTTCCGCTGATTTTTCTGGAACCGTTTGGGATACCGAGGTTTGCTATTTCTTCAGCCAGTCTAACCAGGGCCTACTCCTCCAGAGAACAACAGTCGCACAAAACATATCAAAGACACTAGATCATGAGACATTTTCTACAATAAAACTTATACATACAGAAATTTAAAACTGCATACAGAAATCTGAGGCTAGAAAATGTCCAATGTGACAACAACAAGCATGATGTATTTTAATGGCAATAAACATGGAGAAATGAAATCTAAACCAAATAAAATTCAAGATACAGATAATAAGGACCTGAACTTCAAGCTCCATGACTGCAAGCTCGCTTTTGATGTTAGCTATCTCATCCTCTTGTGTTTTAAGCTGCAAGTTGTCAAAAGTAGCAAACAAACAAGTCAAATAAGTCACCATCCTCTGTTTTGATTCAACATGAACTCTTCCCTTATACCATCACGAGTATACAAATTGAGAATATAATCAAACACAATTTTTGTTTTAAGTGAACTAGCAGAATGCACATCAAACAAACAGATGAGAACAGCAAAAGATACCGGTTAAAACAATGGAAATATATCTTCAGTTTTGATACAATGCCGGTTTATCAAATCAATGCACATCAAACAATGAACAGATAAAGGTACCTGTCGCTTTAGGAACCGGTTATGTTGATTAGCTTCACTCAATTTATTAACAAGCTTCGATCTTTCATTATCGATAAGCAATGCCTTCAACTACAAAACCCAAAAAAAGGGAGAGTTTTGTTAGTTCCTTCATCATCTGAGAATTTATGATAACAAGAGAAGAACATAAAAGCCTAACCTCGTCACTAGTGAGAGGTCGAGAAACAGAGTCGTCGAGTGAAGATTCGTCTGTGCCAACACCAACTAAGAATCTTTTCAACACCAAACTGTTCTTGTAATGCTTTTGATAAGGAAGTTTCTGAAAATGTGAAACTGTGTTCAAACTACCCAAATTCCATGCCTTTCTTAAGTTCCATGAAAGAGTGAGGTTTTGCTCAAGACAATGTCTGTTTCAAGAAGAACAATCACACTATAAGCTAATTATTGAGTAAAGAAGTTAAATTTAGTGAATCAAAACAAATTTGTGTACCTGAAAAACCCAAATTCCATTCTGGGTACATAACCTGCATCAGAACATTCACAGATTTCCAAAATTACAGAATTTAGAGCAGAAAGAGAGAAATTAGGGTTTTTTTTTTAATCCCATTAACAGATTG